CATTTTAAATGATAGGTATTCTAGCGGATGTTTTGTAGTATTTCATTGTGGTTTTAATTTGCATTTTCAAGATGAGTAAGTGCCTCTTCATACACTTACCAGCCATTTGGAGATTCTTTCTTGAGAATTGCCTGATCGAGTTATTTGCCCAGTTTTTTATTGGTTGTCTTTTCCTTTCTGGTTTATAGGAGTTTTTTAGAATTCCAAATATGAGAACTTTGTTAGATATATGTGTTATGAATGTTTTCTCCTGTCTGTGGTTTGCCTTTTCACTCTTAATGATATCTTTTGATGAAAGGAAGTTCTTGATTTTAAGTTCCAGTTATTAATCTTTTCCCTTATAGTCACTGCTTTATGTGTCCTGTTTAAAAAAATCTTTGCCCACTTCCCACTGCACTTTGATTTACCTGTGCTATTTATGTGCTTTTTCCCCCACACCAGTGAGTTCCTGAGGGCAGAGACTGTATCTTCTGCTCTGTTTACTCAGAACCTAGCATGGAACTTGGAATATGGTAGCAGTTCAGGAATCACTTGATTAATAAATTAATTCATGCATTACATTAAGTAACACACGTAGTCTCTGTACACAGAGATTTTACTTCTAATAATGAAAATAAATGATGCTGAGAAAATCCTTGATCCATATATATGTACATATATGTACATATATATACATATATAAATGAAGGAATAACTATAACTATTACATTCTTTGAAACTGCATATGAGCTGCTTTCTATGTGAAATTTCTTATGTATGCAGATGTATGCTTGTCTGAAGCAAAAGCTGATAAACAACTAGTGTAAGTTCATTAAATAGGATCCAGTGTTCCTCTTCACTGTAAAAGGGAATCATTTAGAGCTTAAATGAATTCTTGTTTCTTCCCAGAGAATTTAATTTAGATAGAAGATACTAGGCTGAGCAATTACAAAGCTTTATGATATGAAGAAACATTTATACACCATGTAAAATGCATTTACAAGCTATCTAATTAGATCCTTACAACCAACCTAAAGCAAATAAAATAAATGTTAGGCTAGCTTCATTATGCCCATGAAGAGATTATAGCCCAGAGGAATTTGACTTGCTCTGAGTAACAGAGAGTGTTGGAGAGATGATCCTATGTCCTGTGACTCTACACAGTCCTGCATGTTCATGGTTGAGATATTTTTTCCCTGACCCCCATTCCAACTGTCTTAAGGTATTTCTTCTTGGAGGCTGTACTGTGGTGCTTTGGCACCTGAGAGACCTGGATCTCAATTCCTGCTGCGAACAACTATTAGCTTGTGAGCCCGGGTAGTTCACTGAGCCTCATAGTAATAATACCCTGAGCCTCCTTTTCTTATTTATAAAATGATGCCTACCTCACAGGTTTATTTTGAGAGTTAAATAAGGTACAAGATGTCTAGAGAGGGGGAGTTCTCTCCTGTTCTTGAATCTCAGATTAGGAATGAAGGATTTTCATATGCAGTGTCCTCTAGAGCATCTTGTAGTTAGGTAATTAGAATGATCTGATGGCTGACTGCCAGACATCACTCAGATTTTTAGAAGGTATCTCTGTTCATAATCAAGTGGCTTATCTAACAGCAGACACTTCTGAATTCATGTTAAAATGGTGTTTGTGGAGCAAATGTGAGAATTTGGCTTTAATCTGTTAAAGTGCCCAACCTAGTTGGGGCTGGCGATGACAGCTGTTAAGCCTTTGTTCCTTATGGTAAATTTGTGACAATTAACCCAATGATTAATCTTCTGAACAAGACACTTCTTTTAGAAACAATATACTTGCAATAAGTAGTTTTTTTAAGTAAGGTTTTTTTTAACCTCAAGCTGTTGAGGTTCAGTTCTTCACTTCTCTCTAGTAGGCCCAGCATGGTAAAAGAGGCCTGGTCTCCTCCATGAGAGAATTAAAGCATTACCTTTTCACAGACGTGTTAGTAATCTTACAATTTGGCTCTACTGGGGACACAGCTACTAGTTATCACTTTGTTGGGGATATTTCTAGGGAGTAGCTATTGGGAGTCTAAGGCACAAATTAAGAACAGCCTGTGTGGGAAAAACAATTTGTCTAATGCCATAAAAGCCTTCCCAAAGCTGAAAGGCTTGGGAGAAGAGGATAGACAGATGTTCCATTCTGGGGGATACTGTGAGGTGTGGATGTGGGATTTGAGCAAGGAATAGAGGAAGTTGAGAACATGGAAATCAGGAATGGGAGGAAAAGGGAAAAGATGACCACAATCAGGCCAATCTTCCCCAAATAGGAGTGACAACTAATCAGCTTCCCTGTGGGTGGAATCGACCTCAACTGACACAGCTGACTAAACAAGACAGCACATCCCCTTAATTGGAGAAGAAAAAAGGAAGATAGGATATGTTGAAAGATCTGCCTTTATACCAGTTCGTTAAAGAGGAAATTTTTTTCTCTTTTCATTAGAATAAAAATATTACAAACTTCAACCCACTCAAATTAGGCTTCTGTCTCCAACACCACACTGAAAACACCACATTGGTCTCCAACGGTCTCTTGCATCTCGGGGAGACTACTGTCCCTTTCACGTGACTCCCAGGAAGAAGGAGACATAGTTGGCTGCTACATCTTTTTAACTTACAGATTTTTGAGAGAAGGGAGAGAGAAACATGGATTTGTTGTCCCATTTACTTATGTATTCATTGGCTGATTCTTTTTTGGGGGGATTCTGATTTTTCAAAAAGACTATTTTTTAGAGAGGGGAAGGGAGAGAGGGAGAGAAATATCAATGTGAAAGAGAAACATCATCAGTTGCTTAAGTGCCCTGTCAGGGACCGAAACTGCAACCCAGGCATGTGCCCTGACCCAAATCAAAACCTGCAACCTTTCATTTTGTGGGATGACACAGAGTGGAGCCACCCATGGGGGCTCCCTGCTTGATTCTTGTGCGTGCCTTGACCAGGGATCTAATCCTGCAAACTTAGTGTGTGGGGAAGATGTTCTAACCAACTAAACTACCCAGGCCAGGGCCTAGATCCTTCTTAAACATTCTGGCTCTTCACTCTCTTTGACACCTGACTATAGTTTCCTCTACCTCACTGGTTGCACCTCCTCGACTGGGCCCCTTTATGTTAGTGATCTCCGGGCCTAGTTCTGGGCCCTTTTTTGTTGTTAAGTTATTGATTTTAGAGACAGAAAAGGCAGGGGGGAGAGATGAGAGAAAAACATTGATTTGTTGTTCCTCTCATTCATGCATTCACTGGTTGCTTCTTATATGTGCTTTGACTGGGGATTAAACCTGCAACCAAGGGCACCTCAGGTCAATGCTCTAACCCACTGCACTACCTGGCCAGGACCTGAGCCTTCTTCTCCCTAGGCGACCAGAATAGTGGTACTAAAATGCATCTATAACACTGGCAATTTCTAAAATTGCTAACCCCAGTCTACCTCTCCTTTAGACTCAGACTCACATACCCAACTTCCCATACTATACCTGAACTTGAAAGTATCACAACACAGCCAAAATGCTTTCTACCCACCAACCTTGCTTAATCTACAAGTCTTTCTGCCTCAGTAATACCACTACCTATTCACCCAGAAATGACTAAACCTGTCATTCTTAATGTCTCTTTCCTCCTTCCCTCATATCTAATCCAATAGTCAAGAGAGAGCAAGGGAGGGAGGAAAGAAACATCATTGTATGGTTGCTTCTCGTGTGGCCCCCACTGGGGACTTGCCCCACAACCCAGGCATATGCCTGACTGGGAATCGAACCAGTGACCCTTTAGTTCGCAACCCACACTCAATCCACTGAGCTACACCAGCCAGGGCCCAACAACCTTTTAATTCTATCTTCAAAACGCATCTCTAATTTATATACTACTTCCCAGTTCCATTGCCACTGGTCAGGGCAAGCTGTTTTGTACCTTGATCGATGCAATAGAATACTGCTCTCTTCCAATCTACTCTCTGTATAATGTGGCTTCTCACTGCACTTGAGACATCAAGTCCCTTACCAGGGCCTAAGGAGACCTTCTATAATCTGGCTTTTACTCATTTTATGCCATTCCCTTGGCTCACTACACATGACAGACATACTGGCCCTCTATAAACACCTCAAATGTGTTCCTGCTCCACAGCCTTAGCATTTGTTTTCCTGTTTGGAAGTTTTCCTCCTGTTCTGAACCATGGCCTTCTTTTCATCCTTCAAGCCTTCACCTAAATATTATTCTATAACATCTTATTTAAAACAAAATTCTCTACTGGATCCTTTTCTAGGTTTCTTTTCCCCTCATAGTATTGAAACCATATTTTTTTTTCATTTGCTCATTATATTTCTAACTAAAAAGGAAGTTCCCAGAGGGCAGAGGCTGTGTGTTTTCCTCATCACATCTCTATCATTTGGCACATAGTGAGGCTAATTAAGGCTAAGGACAGGTATTCTGTTGCTGGAAGAATGGAACGGGTGCCCTCTCTGCCCAATTTAGGTAGGATGCCACCCGGTGGCCAGGAGACAGGTCTTGAAAGATGACAAGCCCCACGAAGGCATGTTGCTGAAGCACAGAGATGAGGAAGTTCCACTAGATGAAGAACAGCAGCTCAAACTGGTCCGGGGCGTACTGTGAGCTAGACACCAATCCCAACTTCTTCTACACGATTTAATCCTATCTCCTGGCTTTTCTCCCACTACTTTAATAATTACATTTTCCTTCACTCACTTGAGCCAAGTCCTTACTGCTGATTTGAAAAACTAGACACCTGAATTGTCCAAATATAGAATCTTACTTTCCTAACAAGGCTAGCAAACCCAATGATTTCATGACAATGTAAATGACATTTATATGGACACTTACCATAAATGTCCAACATACTACTAAGAGCAGAAGCTAGCAGACACTACCCTTGACAAAGGGACTATGAGCTAACTTATGCCAATGCTACTGTCTTAAACGTGAGAATATATGGTAAGATTTTGAAACCTGATTTGTATTAAATATCCAAACTTGTCTTACAAAACAAAAATACAAAAAACTAATACTGAAAAGTTTTTATTTTATTTCCAAGATCAAATATTACAACAGGAAATTTACATGTATTTATAAAAAAATGCAGCAGTTGAATTTATAGATCAGAGGTTTCCTTGAGTTTGGTCCCTCTCTCAGCACAGTGAGCTGATGTCCTCAAAAGATTTACCGTCCCATTCCCCTCCTTCCCCCACCCCATTTGTCCCACCCCCCTCTCCAGGTCAAGTTGCAGTATCAATATAAAGCAACTGGTTACAACACAGCAAGGATATTCACAATTTGGTACAGCCAAAACCAGAGGATCACCAACCGAGAGAAAGATCCTTATTTTAGAAATTTACCTATAGACTGTGTATCTATAGATATACTGCACCCAGTTATCTAAGATTTCCCTGGTTTTCAAGCAAGTGGACGTTCCATTGAGTCTTAGCCAGCAGCTACAGCTCTGCATTATCTAATGGCATGTTTTTCTCCTACAACTTTAGATTTTCTATGGCCTCCTCCGTGTGTCTTCAAATTTAAGACTTTCCCTAGCACCTTTATTATCACTTACTAGATATACAGGAGGGTCTCTAGTGTGTCTTGAACAAAAAAATCTAGTGAATGATCCAGCCCCTTACTCGCTGGTCCCAAGCCTTCTTCCCATTTTTGAGAAGAGCTGCTTCAGAAACAAATGGTATCTCCTAGCAGCGTGGGATTAAAAGCCCAGAAAACTGAGAAGTACATGTGCATTTTAGGGAGCACTTGCCAGCAACACTATAATAGGAGCCCTGTCTTTGTCCATTATCTTCCTGCATTCAATTAACAAAGTTATGCTACATATTAAATTTAGAGCCGTCCTGCATTCAGAATGCAAATCTCACTAAGACCACCACTTTGTCCAGAATGAGTTGAGTACACAAACACCCCAGGGAATCTCTAAATACTGTTAGGAACTGCTTGAGAAACACTTTAAAGCAAATAACCCAAGATGACTTCACTCAAGTCCCCAACCCACCCCCATCCCTATCCCCAAATAAATTTCATTCCTTGATTAACCTTTCTCAGTAAGATGGGAAGTGAAGTTTGAAAAATGTTTGAAAAACACAACTAGTGAAGTCATGCCAGAATCGGACACTCCAGATGATTTAAAATGCATTGTTTAAACTGAACTCATACAAAGCATGCACAGAGCCTACAAACACTCCTGAGATTCCATGGAACAGTCAATACCTACTCAAAAACAGACTTTTGTTTCATAAAGGGTTAAAAAAAAAAGACACCAGATGCTTAAAAATTGTTAACAATCAATCAAAAGGAAAACCATCCTAAGATTCTTACAGGAGTGAATAAAATTTTATCTACCAGATTCATGCCAAGGCTTGGATGAAAACTCCTCAAAGTCTAAGAATGTTAGCATAAACTGGTGCTCATCTCTCTAAACCTATGACTAGCGGGGTCATCGCACAGACTTACTGCTTCCCAACAGAATTTTAAATTGCCTCTCCCAACTGAAGGGACAAACCCAGGAAAGCAACAAGGCCCAAGGCCCAAAATGGGTGAGATAAATGGCCCCTGCTATAAGGTTACTACTCATTAACTAAAAAGTGGAGGTTATGCACTACTTTCATTCTAATCAGTAGGTAAAATGAGATTTTCTGGTGGCAGTGGTCACTCCATGTGAGGTTTAACTTACAGGGAAATTATCAAAGTTGTAAAAGCATGTAATTAGTGTCAAAAACCTATTTATGTTTTGAATCACACCATTTAATTTATTGATAGTTTCCATTATTAAGAACACAGAAGCTTTGAGAAAACATACTATAAAACGATTTTGTTAAACAGCAACATATCCAACCGAGCACCAACATTTCAATGTCATTAACTTGAAATAGATCCTGGTGACATGTACTCTAAAGCCAGCATCTGTGACAGGAAAAAAAGGCAGAATGGCAGGGAATGGTTCCAGATCAAGAATCTCTCCCTTATCAATTAAGATGCCCATACTGCATCTATTTTAATAAAGCAAACAAAAAAGATTTTAAGGAAGGGATAATTCAGTTTCAGGTCAGAATTTATCTAATGATTTCAAATGTTTCCCATTTTATTTACCACCTCTAATAAATGAATGATTCATGATAGCTCAGAGTAATAATTACTTTTAAGGAAGATAAAATTTTTATGTTCACTGCAGCTTAGCTTGATTATTATTTGAAAACCCAAGTGACCATATAAGGGATATAAAAATCTTAGGGCATTTTGATCTCTGCAAAGGAAATATCATTAAGTAAACAACAAAACCTTGCTGTCTGTTCCAAAAGATTTAAGTACAGGCAACTTCCCATATTACTAGATTAATATATGACTGTTCTTAGGCAAAATACTACCATTAGTATTTGTATCTCTAATCCTGCAAGTAAATGTGGTTATCTTTTAAAAATATTTTACAGAAAAGCTAAATTGTTTGATTAATGTAGTTTATACTGGATTACCCAACTCTACTTTTAGATCCTATGGCAGAGAAAGGCCTGTACCAAAAATCAGGTTTATGAAAATGACTGAGGTGCTAAAGCAATACAAGAGCATTCTGTAGGCCAGAAATGGGGCAGAGGTATCATGGAGCTAGCCATTCTATATTTTGAACAAAAGAACTCTTAAGTAGAGAGAAAATGAGCTACAAAATTAAGTTTGCCTCAAATTCTCCCTTTGTATACTCATTTATTAAAAAATTTAAATGTTATATATTAAAACTTAGAAATGAATTCCTTAAACATAGCCAATTCCATGAAAATTATAACTCATTTTCAAAGAATGGATTAAAAGATTTTCTAATTAAGGGCCCCATATCATTATGTCCAGTAACTGGAACCACAAGTTCACATCAATGGGAAAACTACCTAGGTCATCATATCTCTGTGAAAAATACTCTTTGATTCTAAGCTGCCTCTCTAGCAGGACTGACACACAGGTGAGTCAAAGACCAAAATAAACATCACTAAAAATACCAAATACCTCATAACAGGAGAAACCAACCTATTGGTTTGGTATTCTCTGTTGGTTATTTGCAGTATGAAAGAACATTCTTGCCACTATTCTGAAGTGTGTACAGTGTAATTAAGTTTTATGGCAAGACAATAACTGAAGTGCTAAGCGAGTCAAATCAATCAAGTTGAATATTCATAGTACACAGCTGTCTTTAGCCTTTTCATTAAGGCTTACAGTTTTGGAAAATTGCCATCTTCATCAGAGGGTTGATTCTTCCACTCTTACTTACTTTTACAACATTACTTATTCATCAGCCTGCATCCTACGATTTACTATTAACCAGTTAAATGAAAGAGGGTGAGAAAGAGAGATCGATATAATGGAGATACACTCTATGGGATAAAAAGTATTTTTAAGAGTCAGCTTAACTGGATCTAAAAAAGCTGTTTCTGCCAAAACTAAGTAAATTTTACAACTCGCACAAATTGATTTCCTAACAATTGCTCAGTACAGTGCTTTGTTTAAGCACACAGGTGAAATAAAATTTAACCGGTATCAGTGAAATATTTGGTTCTCCTTAATTGCATTTTATTCACACTCAACAATGATTAAGAATACTGCATTAAGTTTTTTAAATTAATAAATTATGTTTAAAAGATTTATAAATATTATCCTTTCTTTTTTCGAGACTTCAGTCAAGTGAGGTTAGTTATTGGACAAATGTAACCTGGATAGAGAAAAAGCAAAGGAACTGATCAGGAAGCATACTTTCAATTAGCTTAGGGGTAATAGATAATAAAGAAGAGAGACTAGAAACATCAAATTCTGGAGTAGAATGGGCCTCAGAGATAATTTAATTCAGCAGTCTACAATTTGTGGGTTCTACACGGGGTCTGCAATTCCATATGCACATTTACATTTTCTCCATCTATAAAATTAATGATATTAATTCTTATTTCACAGTTCCCCACCCCTGCCAAATTTTAAAATCACAAGTCCTTCTACTTGAATAGACAAAACTCTTGATCTAGTCCAGTTCACTGTTAACTAGTAGCAGAGCCGTTACCCAAGTCTGCTCATACCTACAGACAGTGCCCCTTTTGCATATCATATATAATATACATTTAATTTGTACTTAGATAGAGAAATTAAACCCTTCCTTTTCAGTTGCTAGTGGCTCCCTCTGGTATCTTCCTAAGCATCCAGTGAAATCTCTGCTAGCCAGAATCTTTAGCCCTGGGATCAGTAATCCTTTCCTATTTGGGTACTGGGTATGCTTTACCGATAAATGCAATGCCCTAAGTAGTTACAAAAGTTGGAACTAAAGAATACAGGTGAGTCAAAAGAAAATTTGAGTTACAGTATTTGCCACTTTTCAGCTTCATATTTTTGTGAAGAATGTCCCAACTGAAGAAGCGTACACTAGTCTTTCTCCTTCCCGCATGTCTATTGCAATTCCAGTTGAGCCCCAGAACGGTTAAGCATTTACCTGTTCTCCCATTACCTCATGTGTAGTGTGTCTCTCCCACCGGATAAAACAGGAAGGAACTAGACGTTAGATTTCAAAATGTTTGATTAAAGACTCAATAAATAACTGGTTTATATAGTCAAGGAAGGCAAATTTTATACAATAGTTAAAAACATATACATAAAAGGGTTCAATAATTTGGTATGGGTGGGATACAGAAAAGATAACTGTATCTTTTCTGAAAAGTGTTTAAAAAACGGTATCATTTTTATCCTTTCTACTTATTCTTGGCAAATAATGCCACATAGTTATTTTCCTTTCACATTTCTATCAGTCCATCATTTCAAGAAAAGAATAATTAGCCCCTCAAAATAATGTTGTAAATAAGAATTCATAGGCATAGCACATATCCCACAAGCTTTAGGGAAACATAAGCAAATGATAGTTTACAGAGCCAGACAACAGGAGGACAACCTTTTGGGCTGATCCCCCTACTGTAGGAGACAACAGTACGTGAGTGAAAAGAACATGGACTCTCAAACACCAATTCTGATTCTACCACTTACTGGCTGTGACATCCTGAACAAGTTCTCTGAACTTCAATTCTTTCTTATCTATAAAATGCGGAAAATATGAATTTTAGAGAGTTCTAAGAAAGATTAAAGGAGAAAATGCACATCAGGTACCTAGCACATGCTAGTTATTCAAAATTAGTTTCCTGTTCTTCCCTCATTAGCCTTTTTTCTCTTTTCTGATTCCTTCCTAAATCAATTTCAACAGAGGTTTCCTGTCACTTTTTTCTCCACTAGTTTTCATTTTATCTCCCTGTATTTGTGTTGTCACTTACTCTCAAAATCTATCTTGTTCTTTTCCTCCCTTTTATAATCCTTCAAGCTGTTTCCATACCTACAAGGAATGACTCTTTTAAACTACTTTTTCATTATCTTACTAACCTCATTTAATCTATTCAATAAAACTTCTCTTCCAAGAGCAAAGCAATTTGCAGAGGAAATAAGAAAAACAAGAGTAAGTATACTCCCTAAGTGAATTAAATTCTTGAGTAAAGCAATATTCCTTATTTGTTTTTCCCATGTACAATCCATAATCCTTCCTTCCCATGGGCCTCTGTATCAAACTCAGGATAATTACACTCCTACCTCAAAATAAAATCCTCTACATCCTCTTGTACTCTAAACACCCCAGCTGTATCGAAGTTGAGTATCTCATGCTTCATCTCTTTAATATGTTTATTTAAATCACTTAATATATATACTTGGTCATCTCATAGCTGAAAAAGTCACTTTGGTTCCTCATAAATGGATATGCCAGGGCTGAGCTTATCCAAAAGAACTATATCCTATCATCCATGAACATGCTGTCTCAGGTTCTCTAGACAGGTTTTATAGAGACACTAATAAGTAAAAGAATAAAACAGAGTCCTATAAAGTTCTAGACTTCACATTTTTGACAGATTTGGGCTTTAGCTGTGACTTGACTTTGCTGAGCAGAGATGGGTGCCATCACAGCACCAAAACTAGGCAGAGCCTCACTTCTTACCCTGTACCTCCCTGAATTTTAGATTCTGACCTTGTTTACTACATTTTTTTAACCCTCTAATGCATCTTTGACAGTATACAGCTCTATTCCTTAGACAGTAAGTCTATTACCCAATTTCAGAGATACAACTGAGGAATTAACATGAAAACCATATTTCCTCAATAATTCAGAAGCTGCTAGTTAGCCTGCAGAGCCTATATTACTCAATCACCAATCTAAAGAGAGAACTTTGACTCAAGATATAAATGAAATTGTAATTATATAAATATATTTATAAATATTTATACAATTATATACTTATACATAAGCACTTACACAGACTTAGAAAAAATGTAAGAACGTTAATCCAAAAGGACTCACTGAAGAATGAACAGAATTTTCCATGATTTCCTTGAGGAGAAATATTACTCGTTCTTTAGGGAGAGTCCCTCGAGATTCAACCATTAGAAACCATATTCCTTAATTGAGTACTAGCCACACGTAAGCATCTTTTTAAAAAATCCCTTAGTTACCAATTGAGTGACCTTAAAATAGATGGGAACCTTAGGTTCTCTGAGCAATAGCAATTTATGTTCCTCAAGAAGATGAATCAATCTAAGTCCCCAATTGATGAAATAGGTCCACCTTATATTACTGTTTTACAGCAAATTAAAGTCCTGATTTTGCCACCAGAATCACTACTACCCTCCTTCAGAGGATTCGACTTAAAAGCTCAAAATAAGAACTGAGCATACAGTGAAGCTGGTAAGTCTAATAGTATCATGTAGATTCAAGATGGCATCTTCCAAACAATATTGAAAAGAGCTTTCAACTGACTAAAATTTGAAAAAAACAACATACCTTAAGGCTACTGGCAATCTTCCCCACCTCCCTTACTAAGTGTTGTCTTATGAGTTGAATTTAAAGGTCTTCACCCTAGACAGGCTTTCAGTTTTGATACCTTTTGCAATAAAAAGCATGAGGAATTAAGCTCATTTAGTCACCAGAGCCTTTTAGAGACTGTTCCAACCAGGGGTAAAAACGAACCATTTTCTAACCAAAGGAACATGGTTAGCTACTCTCAGCTGCATATTTTTCTTTGACACCCTCCCCCCCCCAGGACATACGTAAGTATGCCTAAAGCACATAGGACAATCCATAACCATAGTGGTTCCAACTACAAGCCATTGTATTGCATGATTATTGAATAGCTGCCTTCTGTTAGATCACTTGGGGACCTAAACAATGGAAGGGCTAAAGGAACTAATATGCTGTACTGGCAAAAACAGCAAGCACCTTCCTATCCCAGTTACCACAATATACTCACTGAAAGTCCATTCTGGGACTAGCAGGATCAATATAGTTTATAGAGTAGTAACGAAGAAAGCTGTCTCAGGCTAGGATATTAAAAGCCATCCCAAGCTACGCACCCAACATTTAACACTCATTCTGCCAATAACACATCTCACAGAAATAATTCTAGCTGTGAGGATGGGAATCCTTAAAATTTTTTAAAAATATGATGAATAATAATTATAAGGGATGCTTTTTCCATGTAAACAAAAGCCTGGTATTTTGTTACGTGATATTTCTTCCAAGAACAATAAAACAAAACACAACAAAGCACATGTTAAAGAATTTCTTCCCCCTACTAAAAATGGGGCTTACAAAAAACAGAGGTTGTTCTTATTCTGAATCTAGCCTTTCTTTTACCAAAGAAGTCTGAGGACTAACATTACCATTTGATCCCCTAAAAGTGCTGTGCAAGAGACCACTTATTGGAACACATATTTCCTGCTGCCAGTACTGGGAGGTCTTACCCTTACATTTCCATTTGGTCACCAGATTACGTAAGAAAGAATGAAAAACAAACCAACCAAGAAAAACAGGAAAAAGACAAAAACGGGAAAGGAGAGAAAAAAGGTGGTAGAGGGTGAAAGAGACTGATTGTAGGAGAAAGCAAGGAATAAAAGAGAAGGCAGGTGACTTGCTTGCCCAACTTTGGCTCTATGGTCCTATGAGCCAAAATGCATACTCAGTGACTTGGTATCTCACAGGAAAAGGGAAAAAAGGGGTAAGCTGAGAGAGGTCAGGCCATGATGTTAATTTCTTTCCTGTACAAAGACAGTCTCTTGAGGACAAAGGCCTGCCTCTTGTAATGTAATGTCATAGTCCAGATGAGAGAGTTTCCTTCGAGGGAAGTTGGTGAGAAGTTCGAAACGTTCATTTGGATATCCTTTAGACTGGACATGCTTCACCAAAGCCTATGAAAAACAAAAGAAAGTCAAGGCTGTTAGATGGAAACAGAAAGAGCATATTAAAGAATTACATATATAATATTCATTTTAATCATATTAGATAAGATAATGAGGTTACTCTTTCAGATAACCAAAGCTTACCCTTTTGAAAGGGCCAACATAACCCTTAGGATGGGGAGATAATAAATAAACCTGCATCCAATAATTTAGGGGCATTAAGTGTCGCTGAAATATACAGGATTATTACCGTTTCTTCAATAAACAAATCCACTATTTATTTATAAAATTACTGTCCTCAGTTTGAAACATGGTATCAGTTTTCCCTTCCTTCATTCTACCTATAGCCAATTTTGCCACCTGTGCACTAAATACCTTCTTGCCTCCTCAGAAACCATGCTACTACAGAACGCCTCTGCTTTTACAGGTATCTTCAACCTCTCCCTCTCTACAGGCGCTTCCCATCAGACTTAAACGTGCTCATTCTCTCCTTCAATCATTTTTCTCCCTCTGATGACTTCTCACCCACCTCTAGCTTCACAACCAAACTTCTCAAAAAAGTGGTCTCTATATGTTCCATCCATTGTCTCATCTCACATTCCCTTCCAAACACTAGACCTGGGAGACAGTTTGGGTATCAGCACCAGCAACCAGACCTCACTTCAAAAATCAGACTATTTCTAGCCAGAGAAAATGGCCAGGTATAAACACCTGACCCAGGGGGAATTCATTTATAAGCTAAACTAAGTTAGACATGGTAGTCTCTTTTCTAGGAGTTGAAAAAGACAAAGGAAAGGCCCATCAGTTGTAGACTTTACAGAGCATCACTATGATGATGGACAAACAAAAGCCACCGGTATACAGAAACAAAAGTGGTATGAAGCAGAGAATTACAAGAGGGAAACCAAACAAGCCCCATGACAGAAAAACACAGATTTTTCTTCGTTCATAACCATTCTGCAGTTCCAGTTACTAGGAAAGTCAGAAGCCCCACTCTAGCTTTTACTCCCCATTTCCGGTTAAGAATTTCAGTTGTTAAATGAAATGCAGCCATGAAATAAAAAAGCCCTGATTGGAACAGACCCTGTATGACTGATTAAGATAATTCAGGAAGGAAATATATTAATTAAAATTAAGATTAACCTCAGTTAACTTTTCAGTTAAAGGCCAGAATGAATGCCTAATACTTATTTCAATGAATCAAGCCAATTATACCAATTAGTTTTGCACCTTCAAGCAAGCATTTTCAATTAGATGTACTTACTAGCAATTTAGCTTGCTCTGGAAGAGTGATCTGTTCCCTTTTTCCATCTGGATACCGCAACATCAGCTGTGCTTTTGGTCCTAGGGTAAAAAAAACAAAACAAAACAAATAAACAAACAAAAAACAGAGGCTTAGATAAAAGACTAATTCAAACAAATAAATACATTCCTTCAGTAATATTCAAGTTTCAAGTAAAGTAAGTCTAGAACATAACTCACCATTTATATCTGTGCCCTCTACAATTCCATCTGATTTTTCAGGTGACATCTCCAATATTTCGGAATCCATGGCTGGCAATCCTTGGTGGTTCATGGTTGTTCCAGGCTCAGTTCTGGCTGGGGGCTCAGTCAGCAGCCTTCTGTTCTCCTCTTTTCTATGCCCCAAATCTTTGTGGGGAGACTTTCTGGACTTAGCAAGATTTTCTATTTCCTCCTCTTCATCAGAGCCACAAACAGATATGAATTCCTCACTGCCAGAAAAAAGTTCAGATTCAGATTCTTCATCTGAGCGGCTATCCTGTTTTGCCTGTGATGAATCAAAATGTGTCTCTTGCAAGGAGGCTCTGATGGCAGCTTCTAGCTGGCTGTCTTCACTTGCATCTATAAGGCTCTCCTGCAAGACGCAGTCATAAAACATGGGTAGAAAGAAAAAGAAAATAGTTAAACCAAAAAATAGACAGCTAAGTCAAACAAGGGCATAAGAAATATGACAGTCAGCTTGCCAGTATTATTTTCTACTAAATGTATCTCTTCTACTAAATTTTCAGCTAGTTGAGGCCAATGCCTTTGTTCTACACAGCTAAATTGGAATGGATTGTTTAAAAACAAAACAGAAACTGTGATACCACCTAGCATAATGATGTTGCAAAGCATAGGGGAATTTTCTGCATCAAAATGAGTAAAAGTAAGAAAAAAGTTTATTGCCTGTCCCCCCAAAAAGGTAAGAATTAAGGTTTTATTCTAATTTTTAAAAGATTTTATTTATTTTAGAGAGGGGAAGGGAGGGAGAGAGGGAGAGAAACATTGATGTGTTAGAGATATGTCTATAGGTTGCCTCTTGCGCACCCTCAACTAGGGACCTGGCCTGAAACTGGGAATAGAACCAGTGACCTTTGGATTCACAGGCCAGCACTCCATCCACTGAGCCACATCAGCTAGGGCTAAGGTTTTAAATATAAAGCTAAAACATTAGCCTTTAAAATGACTATTCAAAGAGGCATGTCTACCTTGATCACCTTTATATTCTTAAATTAGCATTGTCTGACACAGAGATCAGTAACTCAATAATTATAATTTTGCAAAAAAAAACCCAAAAAACAAAAACCCTAACAGATCTCTAACTTTCAAAACACCATACAATAAATGGGGAAAAACAACAACTATATTTGCCCAAGCTTTAATCTTAATTACAGTAAGATTTTCACTGTGATCATAAGAAAGGCAAATTTAACAGTTTCCCTTTTGATCAAGGTCTGTTTTTAAATGAAATATTTTATTTATTTTTAGATAGAGGGGAAGGGAGGGAGAAGTGAGGGAGAGAAACATTAATCTGTGGTTGCTTCTCATGTGCCCCCACCGGGGGACCCAGCCTGCAACCCAGGCATGTGCCCTGACTGAGAATCGAACCAGCGACCCTTTGGTTTGCAGGCTGGCACTCAGTCCACTGAGCCATACCAGCCAGGGCTCTTTTGGTAAAGTTCTAACGTCACAGATTTCACTAGACTTATTCAATCACAATATATGGGTTGTTTGCCAAAACAATCTTGAGAACAAAGAACAAAACTGAAGGTGTCACACTCCCTGATTTCAAACTGTTTTATAAAGCTATAGTAATTAAAGAGTATGTACTGGCATAAAAACAGACACACAGAATAATGGAACAGAATTGAGACCCCAGAAATAAACCCATGCTTACATGGTCAATTAAACTATGACAAAAGAGGTAAGAATATACTATTGGGGAAAAGACAGTCTCTCCAATAAATGGTGTTGGGAAAACTGGATATCCACATGCAAGAAAACAAAACTAGCCTACTTTCTTGTACCACATACAAGAATAAACTCAAAATAAACTAAAAAAACTTAAACATAGGACCTCATACATCTAATAAGGGGTAATATCCAAAATATATAAAGAACTCACATACAATTCAACATCAAAAACACAAATAATCCAACTAAAAAATGAGCAGAAGACTTGAATAGGCAGACATCTCTCCCAAGAAGACACACAGAGATGGCCAACAAACACAAAAAGATGCTCAGCATCACTAATCATCAGGGAAACGCAAATCAAAACCACAAAGAGATACCAACTCACACCTGTCAGAATGGCTTCATCAAAAATACAATAAAGATCAAGTGTTGGGAAGGATGTGGAGAAAAGGGAACCACGGTGCCCTGTTGGTAGGATTATGAACTAGTGCAACTACTGTGAAAAACAGTCTGGCAGTTTGTCAGAAAAATTAAAAATAGAACTACTCTGTGATCCAGCAATTCAACTTCTGGGCATTCATAAAAAAAAAATCCCACTAATCTGAAAAGATATATGCACCCTATATTCATTATAGCATTGTTTATAATAGCCAAGATATGGAAGCAACCTATGTGTTCACCAATAGATGAGTGCATAAAGAAAATATGGTACATATATACAATGGAATACTTACTCAGCCATAACAAAGAATAAAATCCTGGTTTTTGTGACATGGATGGACCTAGAAAGTATTATGCTAAGTGAAGTAAGTCAGTATAAGACAAATAGCATATAATCTCACTTATATGTAGAATCTTAAAAAAAACAAAACTAAGCAGAAACAAATTCACACATACAGAGAACAAACTGACAGCTGCCAGAGGGGAACTAAGTAAAGTGCTGGGCAAAAATTAAGAAGTAAAAAACTTCCACTTATAAAATAAGTCATAGGTATGTGATATACAGCATAGGGAACATAATCAGTAATACTGTAATAACTATATATGGTGACAGTTACTACACTTACTGTCATGATCACTTCATAAGGTATATAAATGTTAAATCAGTATATTGTAAACCTGAAACTAATGATATGTCAACCATAATTTTAAAATTGAAAAATAATAAAATTACAATCAATCCCTAAACTGCTGGCCTCTAGAGTTCTAGATGAGAAAAGTAGATGTCTTCTTTAAGTCATTATTTGTTGATGTTTTTCTTGTACAGTTGATCAAAATTTGTAATAATCAGAGAATTTAGTACAAGTGGAGTCTGAGATACCAGTTGCCCAAATCACCTCTATGTATTTGTCCAATTTTTATGGTTCTACTCTTTTCCACTAAGTGCCTTAATTTTTATAAGACAGCTGGTAAAGTTGTAAGTAATCTCAATTTATGTTGAAATTTAGCAACTCACAAACTCATGCTCTGGTTTTTGGCAATATCAATCTTATGACTGCAAAAGATAAGAAACTCTCTTAGGACTTTTAGAATTATAGAAACTGCGGAGTTTTGAATGCCTTAAGAAATAATTCTATCTAAGTAAAACTTCTCTTAGCAATGGAAACAACAACAAACTGTCCATAGATAAAAGTGAAACAATGTTTTAGTTCTGCACTTTTGTGTTCACCTAAATAAAATTGCTCTGAGTAATGACAGGAGAGGAGAAAATTCTATACCACTCCTTGGCAAGCACCCACAGCCTTTTCTTAAATGGCCACATTATTCTAGGTGATAAGTAACTGTTTCATCACTGTATATGCACTGTTAAAGTCTTATCTTCTAAAACTAGTTTTATCTCATTGCGAATCAAACCCTAACAGCTCCTATGAACAATGTGAGATTCTGTCATTTAGGTCTCTTTATCTGCAATTAATTGTGACACCAATTCAAACAGGTATGCCTAATTATAGCATATTACAGAAATTAAGTACAAAAATAACCTCTGGGTGCCCTGGCTGGTGTGGCTCAGTGGGTTGAGCATCGTCCTGCAAACTGAAAGGTCGCCAGTTCAATTCCCAATCAGGACCTGAGTTGTAGGCCAGGTTTCCGGTTGGGAGCATGTGAGAAGCAACAAATCAATGTTTCTCTCCCTCTCTGCCCCTATCTCTAAAAATAAATAAAGTCAAAAAAAAGGAGGGAGGAAGAAAGGGAGAAAGGAAGGGAGTGAAGGAGAAGAAATAATCTCTGGGTGGGCCAGAGAGCCAGGCCCTAAAGCTATATAACTAGTAATAAATGACCAACTATACCATGAGAATTTTCTAGCAAAATGCCTTTTTTTTTTTTTTGCTAAGTAGCCATTTTTACTGCTACTGAGACCTGGATGCCCCAGCAATGCTGCCCTTGAAAGAGGTGGATTCCTCCCTCTATCACTGGAGCTTACTAAATCAGTTCTCACTGCTACATATTCACATCGTTTACTTCTAAACCAAAATCTTAGGTCACATGCCTATACCCTGCAAGGGAGACTAGGAATATGAATCTTATGATTTCACTGAGAAGATAGAACCCTCATGTGGGAAATTATCAAATTATAAAGAAGGCATCTAAGATGTTGTACAGCCACAAATTATAACTGTCCAATGCTTACATCATTAGCTTTACTTTCTAAGGTTCAAACATTCTATACAAGATACCTACATTCAATTACACTTAATTGGCCATCACTGCTTCTTAGTCATACTTACTGAACGGGCACATTTTTTGGGGGGGCTGCTAGAAAGTCCATCCAGTTGCCCATGTTCACCCAGAAACCCCGTCACTTGGTCCAAGAAAGAAGATACATCTAACTGGTGCCACTCTACTAGCTTCTGACCTAAAAATTAAAAACCAGGATATATAATGAAACCAATATATCTCAACATTCTCATTAAGTATTACTTTCAATATTTACATAATTAAAATTTTGGGAACACATATCCCCACACCTTATCAATTTAAGTTACATAACATTTACATAATCTAAATAATACATTAATTATAGTCAACCTAAGATTCCCAGCCATCAAACAACTTCTTTATCTGCTGGCTGCCATTTAGAAAGACGATTCAAACAAAGCAAAAATTTTGATGAAACTCAATTCATTAATAACAAAGCCAGCTCTACACTCTGTTCTCTGGTGGGATTACAGCTAGTATTTAATATTTTAATAATATAAAACCTAAAGGGACCCCTTATAATATAACAAGAAAGATGTAAGTTATTTTTTGAAAGAACAGAACTGCACAAATATAAAATACTATCATCTCCCCAAAATTGTCAGAAATAGACTCCCTAAAACATTTCAATAGATATTTAAATGATTCTAAAGGGCATCAATAAAAACCTTGACCTAAATTATTATGAAGATTTCTGAAACAGGATCCAGACAAATACTAAAGATAATTATTTAGGCAACTAAAAAATAAGTCATAGGTCAAATGCTGTAAGCTGATATGTTCTTACCTGTCCGTGGATCCAAGATGGAAACATAGGGGAAATCCCCTAGCTTATAAAACTGTATGTATCTCTGGCCCTCCTCACTGTCATGATAAACCTGTTAAGTCATTGATATAAAAAAAAGTCATCCTCTAAAAAAAGTTCCAATTACATCCCTGCTATACAACAACAACAATTAATTCTCCAAATATACCTTTGGTATATGCTAGGATCTCATTCCTACATTAAAGAGAAAATGAAGGTCATCTGGTGTGAACTCCCTCAACTTCCTGCCCTTAGTTCCTCTGAAAAATTATATATCAACCCATTTTTCCTCTATTGCCAGTTCATAAGAGATACTGCTCTTTCTGATCAAGTTAGTATTCTTTCAGTTCAAGTTACCTGTCTACTTATATCATTCCTGACCCTTTTATATTATACATCTTAATAAATCACAACATATTAAGATGATTATCTTGAATGGCATAGATGTTCAGTCAGTAGTTGCAAAATAAAAGGTTATTATTCAGAAAAAAATACTGAATTCAGGCCTGTAACACATGAATAAGTAAATTAATAACATTAACAGCATTTTACAGTGGGAAAAATTCATTCAAGACATTTTTTTTTATTTCATTTATTTCTCTTTAAAGGGGAAGGGAAGGAGAGAGGGAGAGAAACATCAATGTATGGTTGCCTCCCGTGAGTCCCCTGCTGGGAAACCGACCTGCAACCCAGGCATGTGCCCTGACTGGGAATCGAACCCCGATTCTCTGGTTCACAGGCCCACGCTCAATCTACTGAGCTACACCAGCCAGGGCTTCAAGACATTTTTATTTCCAAAAATTTTTCATAAAATGAAAATCTGAGCTAATCTTAGCTTGATGATTTACATAAAAAGAAAGTTGAGCCAGCATGACTAAATGACAAGCCTAAGGACATACAGTTAAAAAGTATCAAACTCAAGCTAAAATCCAAGTCTTAGTCAAATGTTTTTCTATTACTGAAATCTACATTTGCACCGTCTATTACAGTAGCCACCATAACATGTGCTACTGAAGTACTTGAAATGTAGCTATTCTGAACTGAGTAAGTATATATGAACCAGATCTTGAAGACTTAACATATGAACAAAAAGATCAAGATATCTCATTAATATTTTATTAGTTTTATATTAGATATATTGATTTTAAAATATATTAAAATTAATTTCACTTGTTTCTTTTGACCCTTTTTAATGTGGTTACTAGAAAACTTTTAATTACATATGTAGTTCACATTATATTCCTACTGAAATATTCCAGTTTTACACTTTAAGAAGATACTTAAGATCTTTTGAGATATGAGTATTAAATGGTTACACAGCTTGGTTCTTTTTTATCTCTTCCCTTGGGAATTCTTCACTGCTGCCCTAATTTTCATTTGTCCTTACTATTTCAGCCATTATGAGTGATTTTACTTTTTCATATGCTAAATTTAACTCAGTTATTAATTGTTTTCCAGTTTATAGCTGAATTCCTCCTTCTCAACATCCCATACTACGAAAGTAAAATACTACTAAAACTTTGATTAACTCTTCACACCTGCCAGAAAATGAAATGTTCCCGGATAATATTCTTCACAGCTTCATTGCTCCATACATCACGGTTGAGGCACTGGCATGCAAAGTCTTGTACATTTTGAATGTTTATCATCAGCCACTTATTCTGCATCTGGCCACACTCTTTGGCCTGTAAGAGTAAAGTTACACAATACTTGTTAGAAATAATTTCTACTTGGTAACTGATATGTTTCAGAGTTCGGACACTGTCATCTTTTCATTTAAATACTACAAAGTTTTTTTCCTCAAGCACGAGATCTAGAATTTTGGGTATCTATACGTTATTTACATTAATTTGCTTGGGTATACATAATTACACTGTCCACTTTCAAGCATTTTTCAAATTTAAATAAACTTATTGTTACAATGGCTGGATCTTTAGTGTACATTTAAACATCTGAAAAAAATTATACAAATTTTTAAGGCCAACAAGTCATGTAATTCTATCACTTGTCTCTATCAATCCCTACTCAAAAATATACCATCTTTTTCCCCTCCCCCATATAACCCATCTTCTTTTTAATAGATAAAACCAGTGTGTTATATCTTGTTGTTTTATTTTCTTTAACATCATATCTATCCACATTTCCAAATTATCATATTCATCTCAATTATTAGGCATGTGCTATTTTATAAAATCACCTTCAACATTTCTATAAAAGCTGCTGAGGGTGTTTTCTCTTAGGGTTATTTTCCTAGGAGTGAATATTAACAGAATGATCTTTAAAAGACTCCCCAATTTATGGTACACATATCAATCATGAGTGTGTACTTTTTGCTTAATAGTTCTTCATCACCATAAAAACCTAAAAATGTTGTTGAGTACAAAAAGATTGGCAAAAAAGCAAATGAGCAAATGCTTCCTTAACTCTGCGTAGGAACAATGAAATGAAAGCCATAGGTTTGACTAATTTTATCTTGGAACAATATTCTTTTCCACTGCAGTTTGACAGAGGAAAATCTTAGGAATCAATTAACTCAGGTTAATAACAGGTGACGAATATACATCATTTTGGAAGTACTGGGCAATGTGAGACTATATTCTGCTTTAAGAAGGTTTACACAGTCTTGCAGATACTGTTTCCCTATTTTGTACACATCTCCCAGAGAAAAACATTTTCTAATATTCACTGTTGATTCCACAAGTTCCAAGTTCAAAACGGAAGTATCCCTGTATTGAGCCAGAAAGCTGTATTTAACTAGTCAAAAGCTTACTTTATTTTTTAAAAGATTTCGCCCTGGCTGGTGCAGCTCAGTAGATTGAGCGCGGGCCTGCGAACCAAACAACCATGGTTTGATTCCCAGTCAGGGCACATGCCTGGGTTGCAGGCCAGTTCCCAGCAGGGTACGCACGAGAGGCAACCATACATTGATATTTCTCTCCCTCTCTCCTTTCCTTCCCTTCTAAAGATAAAAATCTTTTTAAAGAAGATTTTATTTATTTGCTTCTAGAGAGAGGAAAATGGAGGGAGAAACAGAGAAACATCAATGTGTGGCCACCTCTCACTCGCCTCCAGCTGGGGACCTGGCCAGCAATTCAGGCATGTGTCCTGACTGGGTACTGAACTAGCAATCCTCTGGTTCACAGGCTAGCACTCAATCCACTGAGCCACACCAGCTAAGATTCAAAAAGCTTATTTTAAAGTATACAAATATAATAAAATTAACAAGTTCTTTACCTATACCATGTACAATGATTAAATAAATGGGTGATAAAATGAGTAATTATGCTGCCATAATTGAAAAAGTATTTGGGAATAAAGAAAAAAATTAACATACATTTCTAGAGAAACAAATTGGAGAGTACTTATCCCTATAACAGGATAAATTTACATAAGTCTGTCTAAACTACAGCACTGACAAGAACAAAACATATTAACTACAGAGTTTTAGCTATACATACTGGATTTATAGCAGTTAGCAAAACACAAAAATCCCTACCTCCATGAAGCATACATTGGGAAGAAACCTTATATCAATGAGCACAAGAAACTGAAGAGGCTATTTAAAAATTACTGCTAGAAGGAAGGGCCCAAAAAGGACATGAATTTTATGCAAAGCAATAATGTTTAGATGGAATATAAGAGGGTCTTACACAATCTCACCAAGTATACTAATTATGTGAGTCTAGGACTAGAGGTAAGAGTGGTCCATGGGACAAATGATGTACCTTCCCTCTTAGAATCTATTAGGTTATTCTGAATCAACATTTAAAACCCATTCATTATGGGGGGGACCCAAGGACAAGCCTGGCTATATCAAATAGAGAGGTATGTGATATGCCCTGTATGTGACAAGGGGGAAACAATGGGAGACCAACAATTCTCCCAGTCCCAGACAAACCAGTAAAGTAAGAAAATAAAAGATATAAAGGGAAAAACATTTGTTTCAGTAATAAATATATAGGTATAAAGTCAAGAAGGAAATACATTAAAATATGCACAGTACTTTTAAATGAAAATTATGATTTTATTATTTTTCTTACTAGTTTTCTAATTTTTCTATATTTGCCAAATGTATATAAAACTAAATATAGGCTATATATAGTTTATTCAGAAAAAGTTTATCTTATGTATTTTGTTATTAAATTGGTTCTTTACATTTTTAATTTTTTTATTTTTAAAGAATTTAGTATTTTAGCCCTGGCTGGTGTAGCTCAGTAGATTGAGTGAGGGCCTGCGAACCAGAGTATCACGGTTTGATTCCCAGTCAGGGAACATGCCTGGGTTGCAGGCCAGTTCCCAGCAGGGGATGCATGAGAGGCAACCATATATTGATATTTCTCTCCCTCTCTCCTTCCCTTCCCCTCTACAAAGATATATTTTTTAAAAAATAAGGATTTAGTTTTTCATTTTTAGAGAGGGGAAGGGAGGGAAAAAGAGAGGGAGAGAAACATCAATGTGTGGTTGCCTCTTACTCGCCCCCAACTGGGAACCTGGCCCACAACCCCGGCCTGTGCCCTAGACTGGGAATCTAAGGTGCCACCCCTCTTTGATTTGCAGGCCAGCACTCAATGCACTGAGCCACATCAGCCAGACCTACATTTTTAGCTAAAATATTTTTACTTGCCTTTATAACAGGACTGTTGAAATTACTGAAGTATTATTAGTAACTGGGACTAGGTGCATGTGAAATTAAATGGCAACATATAAATACCAATTTCTTATGAAAACAGGAACTATTATGAAAATTGTTCTGATTCTTTCTGTACAGTGTACTCCAGATTATGCCATTCAATCATTTAACAAAGATTTAATGATGGTCAATTATGTGCCAAAAACTCTTCTAGGCATTAAATACAACGATAAAGTTCTTGTGTTCATAGAACTTACATACTAAATGTTCCCTTTCCTAGGCCAGATCATTCATCAACATTGATCATCTCTCGTTTGCCCACCAACTGGGAATCAAACCTGCAACCTACATATGTGCCCTGACTGGGGATCAAACTTGCTACCTTTTGTTATATGAGATAAAGCTCCAACCAACTGAGCCATCTGGCCAGAATGCAGTGATATTCTTTTAAAATACATTAGGAACTCCTAGAAAGGTGGGCAAAAGATACCTATAAACCTTTTAGTATATCTCATATCATGCTTATAATTATGCCAATTCCCTATACAGTATGCTGAAAACATTTTTTCTCTTAGAAAGAAAAAAAAATGGCACTGACAATGCAAAAGGATTCATGGTTAAGCCTTAGAATTTCCAACTACTTACTGTTTCAAAGCTGCCTTTATGCATCAAATCAATGGGTGGCCGGAATAGATCTGCAAGGGTAGTTAGTTTCTTATCTATGGCTCCTCCATTTCTTAATTCCTGTTCTTGCCGAACTGCAACACAGAAGAATGAGAAAGTTTTAATTAATCATAAAATAAAAGGCATAAATCTTGCAATATAAAAATTGCGAGTATCAATTGCAAGAATTGCTTAACCTCAAATGCAAATACTAAATGCTGATTCTGAAAATAATACAAAGTGAATGAGTTTTAAGATTTGGTAGTGGATTTCTACCCAATGGTAAAGATAAAAGCAGAAATTTATATAGAGACACAATCAAAATGTTTCCTTCATATATTCAAAAGTAACTTTTAGCATAAGAGAAAACTTTGAACTCCATTTATCTGGCTCTGAAGGTGATCCTAATTTATCTCTTGTTTCTAGCTATATTCCCAATCTTTAAAACTGGCAGGGCACAGGATTCCATGAAGACCTGGGTCAGTTTGGAGTTCCTTTCAACACTCTGCAAAGTTACAAGACCCACCTGTGCTTCAATAAGGTCATTGCAAATCAACTACAAAATCAAACACAGTCCATGAGTTTCTCACATATTCTCTAAACATAACTGTTCTCTCCTTTAAAATCTCACTGCTATACCAGTATGAATTCCTCTAAAGGGGTAAGGTCAAGATCCTCATTCTAACTTATTCCACAGGAAAATATAAACCTATTCTAAACAACTATAGCCAAAATATTAGTACTAGGGCTTCTTGGAGTAGTATTTTTCTTTTATTTTTCAATTCCCTTACAATAACCATTTTCATTGTGGTCTTCAATGGACAGATACCAGGATCTTGAGGCAAATCAGTTTTTTATTTCATGATATTATTTAAGTGCCCACTGAGAAGCTAATTAATTTTGTAAATTACCTGATTTTTACATGATCTCCATCTCTTTTATTCTTCTATCAACAAGTAGGTTAAAATTTGGAACAGCTTAGCTCTGGGGGAATTAATAACAATCACAGATGGAATTCATAATTTTATTTTTAAAGTATATTTTATTGATTATACTATTACAGTTTTCCCAATTTTTCCCTGTATTCCCTCCTCTATCCCCCAAACCTCCAGTATTACCCATCTTAGTTCATGTCCATGGCTGTACATATTAAGTTGTTCTGTTTCCTATACCATTTTTTACTTCTCTCATCTATTTCATGCCTACCTATCAATTATGCTTCTTCTTCCCTGTACCTTTTAACCCCTACTCCTCTCTTTCCCCTCCCCACTGAAAACCATCCATGTAATATTCATTTCTGATTCTGTTCTTGTTCTAGCTGTTTGCTTAGTTTTTTTCTTTAGGTTCAGTTGTTGATAGTTGTGTTTGTCGTCATTTTACTGTTCATATTTTTTATCTTCCTTTTCTTAGATAAGTCCCTTTAACATTTCATATAATAAGGGCTTGGTGATGATGAACTCCTTGAACTTGACCTTATCTGGGAAGTACTTCATCTGCCCATCCATTCTAAATGATAGCTTTACTGGATAGAGAAATCTTGGATGTAGGTCCTTGCCTTTCATGATTTTGAATACTTCTTTCCAGCCCCTTCTTGCCTGTAATGTTTCTTTTGAGTAATCAGCTGATAGGTAGCCTTATGGGAATTTCTTCGTAGGTAACACTTTCCTTTTCCCTTGCTGCTTTTAAGATTCTCTCCTCTTTAATCTTGGGTAATTTAATGATGATGTGCCTCAGTGTGTTCCTCTTTGGGGCCAACTTCTTTGGGACTCTCTTGGCTTCTTGGAAGTCTACTTTCTTCACCAGACTGGGGAAGTTTTTCTTCATTATTTGTTCAAATAACTTTTCAATTTCTTGCTGTTGCTGTTCTCCTTCTGGCACCTGTAATTTGTATATTGGAACATTTCAAGTTATCAGAGAGATTTGTAAGCCTCTCTTCACTTTTTTGAATTCTTGTTTCTTCATTTTCTTCTGGTTGGATGTTTACTTCTTCCTTTTGTTCCAAACTGTTGATTTGAGTCCTGGTTTCCTTCCCGTCACCACTGGTTTCCTGAATCTTTTCCTGTATTTCATTTTGGGAATCTTTCAGTTGTTCTTCCATTTTGTAACCAAGCTCAATCAGTTCTGTGAGCATTTTGATTACGAGGGCTCTGAACTCTCCACCAGATAGGTTAATTATCTCCTCCCTGCTTAGCTCTTTCTGGGGTTTTGCTCTGTTCTTTCATTTGAGCCATATTTCTTTGTCTTAGCACACCTAGTAAGTTGTAAGGGGATGGGGCCTTGGGTATTCACCAAGGCAGGGCAACCCTCCACGCTATGCTGCGGAGCTGCCTGTGGGGGAGGGGCCAGAGAGGGAACAATGCAGCTCGCTTGCTCATCTCTAGTGCACTTTCCAACAGACTCTCATGCGAGACTGGGAGTTTCTCCCAACCACCGTATTCCAGAGTCAACTGTGAGTCTCCGTTTCTCCTTAAGTCAGCCCTGGCCTGCAGGGTCTGCTGCATGGCTGGGGATTCTCTCAGCCAGCCCCGTAAGTCTCCTCGTTTCGGCTTCTCTCCAACTGCCGCCTTATTGGTCTGGTTGTTATATTTAACTGTGTCTTTAATTCTGTGGTTGTCACAGTTCTATGCAATTTGATTTTCTGACACTTCTGGCTGTTTATTGATTTTAGATTGGTTGTTATCTTCCTTTTGGTTGTATGAGCAAGTGAAGGGTTTCTACCTATGCCATCATCTTGGCTGGAAATCTAAAAATTTTACTTTAAAAAAAAATTTTATTTAGCTCCAGCTGGTGTGGCTCAGTGGATTGAGTGCCAGCCTGTGAACCAAAGGGTCAGGGTTTGATTCCCAGTCACAGTACATGCCTGGGTTGAGGGGCAGATCCCCATAAGAAGGTGCGTAAGAGGCAACCCACACATTGATGTTTCCCTTCCTTCCCTCATCTCTAAAAAGAATTAAAATATTGTTTTAAATTTACTGATTGATTTTAGAGAGGGCAGGAAGGGAGATGGTGAGGGAGGCAGGAGAGGGGGAGAGAAAGAGAGAGAGGGGTAGGGAGAGAAAGAAACATCGACTTGTTGCTCTACCCATCTGTGTACCCATTGGTTGCCTCCTGTATGTGCCCTGACCAGGAAATGAACCCACAAACTTGCCATACCAGGACACCACTCTAACCAAATGAGCTACCTGGCCAGGGCATAATTTTACTTTTTCAATAAGGTGAATCCTCAAAGTAATTGGACATCATATTAATAATCTTTTCTTTTTAAGACAAAGTATATGAAACAAACTGAGACCCTGACCTATGGGGAAGTTATGAGTGCTTTTCCACCTTCTGCTTTTATATGTGACAGAGAGAGGGGAAAGGAAAGGAGAAGACACAGAGAGAGAGAGAGAGAGAGAGAGAGAGAGAGAGAGAGAGAGAGACATATAGGGGATAAACTAATCCATAGATACCTACTAGTTTCAGTTTGAAAATCCCGGAAACCATCGAATATGGAACGTGCAGGCCGCCGTCTTTTAGGAGCTTTAAAGGGAAAAATAGAATTGATACAAAAAATTAAACATTTTGAAACAATTCTAAAAACTTCCTTATCTATAGTAATTATTGTTTTGAAACACTCAGATTCATAATGGTGGTCTCCTTAAAAAAATAAAGTATTTTAAAACCTTCAAGTCATTCATACATAATTAACTCAACCATCTTCAGCTCAACCATCTTGTTTTACAAATGAGAAAATTAAGGCCCAGTTAAGGAGACTTGACCAAACCTGTGTAAAAGACAGGAAGAAAGATTTTTAAGGATGACTCCTAAAGGAGATGAAACTACAAATGTTGCCAGTATCTAATTCAGGTTAGCCTAAGGAAGCAATTTTCAACCAGTGCCACAAGAATTTTTAAAATACCTGACTATTTAGTCAGGGGCAGTGACCTCTTTTCTCCCTTAGACTGTCAAATAAAAAATGACAATAGCCAATACAACATTAGACATCTCGTGTGAGTGAATCAAAATTATACCAATTTTTTTTGTCAGTTTAGCAAAACATATTTTTTGGTGTGCCACAGTCTTAATAGTTGGTTTACATGTGCCAGAAGATTAAAAAGGTTGAAAATCACTGGCCTAAGGGATCTGACTACCCTTTGGTATAACACTTTATAACTGAGTTCCAAACCATACCTAAAAACTACTTTTTAGTAAATGGATATACATGTAAAATTATAAATACCAAAATACTATTTTTAATTTTGGAAGAAAAATTATTCCAGTTACAAAATGGTTTAGTAACAGAAAAGTGTATAGAACCAAGGTCTTCTGATACCCCTGTACTGTGTCTATTACCCAATCCTAAAGTATTTTACAGATAAAGTCTAAAAAGCAATAGTCGCAATGTTATTTTACTATTTGTATGTGTTCTCAAACATAAAAAAATTTGCCAGATCATTTATATATATTACAGTAAATAAGGACATTTAATGACTCCCACTATGGGTAATAGTCATTAAGTTCGCTTACTGCATTCCTGGCTAACATGTAACCAGAACAATACTCCACATTAGTAAATGATTACTAGTAAGATTAGATAGAAGGTATAAAAGTCCCTGACCCCACATCAAAGCATCTATGTCAACAGCCTGTGTTTGTTATTATATAGGATAATTCTTTCTATTCAAGAACTATTGAGAGAAAAAAATGCAGAAAGAACCACATGTAAAAAATCTCATATTTATTTAAAGCATTATCTGGCCTTTTATAATTTATGCACATACTTGTATAAGTATTTATATTAAAAAAGCATAATACCCCTAGCAAAGGGATTTGGTTAAAAATAGAAACTTCCATGTTTTAGTTTTAATTTTTTAAACTTAAATTAACTTTTGGTTGTACTGCATTTATTTAAATTGAAAGTTTTAGAAATTTAAATGCTCCATCATTTCCCCCTTCTTCCATTCCTTTATAAAGAACTGAGGAATGTTATTCTTTTCAATACTGGAATTATTCTTAATTGAGAGGTCCTATTTCAAATGTATGTTTCTAGCAGGTTTAATACAGTCTTTCAAGAATGTCTTCTTAAAACTCATTATCAGATACTTTTCAACTGTAATAATTAAGGAAGTAAGAGTATGTTAGGATAAAATGGAATAGCTACCTAAGACAGCATGTTATTATTGGGCAGGTAGTTTTCATACACTTTTAAATTGTCAATGGCCTGCTCCTCTCCCGCTTTCCCTTTCTCCCCCAACCCACCCACCCTCAATTTAGCCCTTCTCTATCAGATAGAGATGTCCTAGCTCTCTCTAGAAGGGATTCTCACTAGTTCCTCTTATTCCTAGCCTTCTACCCAACCTCTTTTATTTTGTGGGCTCAATAACCTGTTCCTAACTGTTTCCTCTTTATTTATCATACGTCTTCAGAACCTCTCCAGAGAACAACACCTCTGGCCCTAGAACCATTCTTACTCCTGTCTACCTCTTCAGTATGAGGTTTCCTGACTCTTCTAGACCATCTGCTATAAACCAAACATCAGTCTTCTGTACTCTCACTCTGTTGCCTACATAATAGGAATGCTGGTCACTGAGGCTAAAGAGGCTAACCGACAGAGTTAAAAAGAGCTTCATAGTTAGGAGAGTAGGGCAGGTGGAGAAAAAAATTTAGAGAGAAGAGTGACATTTTCACAAATCTGTTAACATCTGGCTTAAGAGAATGTATCTGAATTTTTGGATGTGCTTCTGCATTCTGTTCTACCATCTGCTGCTATTCCTTTAGTTCACATATATGAAGAAAATTAAAATTCAATTTTACATAGATACGTAGTTGCAAAAAGGAGTATTTTAATAGTATTTTAAGATAATTATAAATATTCTCCTCTGATACTCACCAAAAATCAACCAGTGGAAGTTTCTTAAAGATTAGTTGAAATGCAGACTCTAAAATCTTATCAATGAACTTTTCATATGCTGTTCCATTAAAATCTATAGGTCTACGTGGTAGGCAGTCCCTAACATGGACCCCAATTATCCCTATCTTTCAAAATTCATAACTGTATTTGAATAACTTGAGTATGAGCAGGATCAAACAGAATGTGGCAGAGGTGACAGGCCTGGATGGTATGTCACTTCCATTAGATTTAAAAAGATGGTGGTGTTCTGGCTGGTGTGGTTCAGTGGATTGAGCGCTGGCCTGTGAACCAAAGGGTCACTGGTTCAATTCTCAGTCAGGGCACATGCCTGGGCTGTAAACCAGGTCCCCAGTGGGGGGCTCGTGAAAGGCAACCACACATTGAAAAAAAAAAAAAAAAAAAGATGATGGTTTGCATCTTGGGATGTACTCTCTGGCTCTCTCATTTGCTCTATGGTAACAACCTGATGTCTCCAACCAACAGTAACATGAGCAGGCTCAGAAAGAGAGATCCCCCTCTATTCAAGCTATGTAAGACAACTGTAGACCTGGCTGATACCTTGATTACACCCTTGTGAGGGACCTTAACCAAAGGCACCTAGCTAAGCCACACCTAAATTCCTGATCCACAGAAACTGAGAAATAACAAATGTTTGGTGTTTCAGAATACTCAACTTTGGAGCAATTTTTTTTTTATTTTTTTGGAGCAATTTGTTACACAACAATACATATCTCTCTGTGCAATTCACCACACCATATGACAAGATCTTTTACCCAGGCACAATTCTGTAATATCGTGCACTGGCCTTTTGAAAATATTCGTTCAATGAATTACTGACCATTTCATTACATAATCTTTTAAAAATCACCATCTGTTAACGTCACCAATAATATCGCCAGAAAGTCATTAAGTAGTGACATGTTTGTTATCAAGCTCATAATCGTGTATATAAACTTTCTAAAATTCCAATTTCTGCCTGAAAGATTTTTTTAACAAATCACTGGTAACAAATAATATCAGTTGTTTGCCTTGAAGCAGTAACAGGTTTTGTTCATTTTCAAACAAAATGTCTGCCACTCAGACCCACGTAACTCAGTTGGTTGGGCATCCTTCCGAAAAGCAAAAGATCATGAGTTCAATTCCCAGTCAGGGCACATGCCTGAGTTGTGGCTTTGGTCCCCAGTCGGGGTGCATATAGGAGGCAACTGGTGGATGTTTCTCTCTCACATTGATGTTTCTCGCCCTCTCTTTCTCCTTCCCTTCCCCTCTCTCTAAAAATAAACACATAATTTAAAAAAAAAGCCTGCTAAATGCGTAGATCTAAATAACTATAAGCCTGTCTGAAAGAAAAAAACAAACAAACGAATGGGACTATAACAGACTAAGAAGGTTTTGCATAGCAAATGAAATCATCAATAAACAAAAAAGACAATATACTGAATGGGAGAAGATATTTGCCAGTGATACACCTGTTAAGGGGTTAATTTTATAAAGAACTCATACAACTGGATACCAAAATAAAAAAGAGACAACCCAATTAAAAAATGGACAGGACCTATGAATAGAAACTTCTCCAAAGAGGACACAGATGGCCAACAGACATATTAAAATACGTTAAATATCACTAATCATCAGAAAAATGCAAATTAAAAACACAATATATCACCTCACAACCTGTCAGAATGGCTATTAACAATAAATCCACAGTCTTGGCTGGTGTAGATCAGTGGGTTGAGAGCCTGCCTGAAATTGGAAAGGTCACTGGTTTGATTCCCCATTAAGGTACATAACTAGGTTTTAGGCCAAGTCCCCAGCTGGAGGACAGAGTGGGGGCTGTGTGACAGGCAACCAATCAATGTTTCTCTAGCACACAGATACTGCTCTCCCTTCTCTTTTTCCACCCTTTACTCTCTCTCTAAAAAATAAATAAAATCTTAAAAAAAACCAATAAATCTACAAACAGCAAGTACTGGCAAGGATGTGGAGAATAGGAAACCCTTGTGTACTCTTGGTGGGAATGCAGTTTGGGGCAGCCACTATGGAAAACAGTATGGAGGCTCCTCAAATTTTTAAAAATGCAACTTACTTATTACCCAGCAATTCTATTTCTGGGTACGCACCTAAAGAAACCCAACACACTAATTCAAAAGAATATATGCACCCCTGTGTTCATTACAATGTTATTTACAATAGCCAAGCTATAGAGGCAATCCAAATGACCATCAACAGCCAAGTAGATAAAAAAACCTTGGCACGCGCTCATGTGCGTGTGCGCACACACACAATGGAATATTACTAGGCCATACAAAAAAGAATGAAACCTTACCATTTGAGACAGCGCAGATGGACTTACGGGGTATTATGCTAAGTGAAAGTCAGAGAAAGACAAATACCATCTAATTTTACTTATGTGTGGTAACTAAGGAACAAAATAAACAAACAAACAACATTAAAATAGACATACACAAAAAACAGACTGATGGTTGCCAGAGGAAAGGAAGTTTGGGTAACTGGGTGAAAATGGTAATGGGATTAAGAAGTACAAACTGGTAATTACAAAACAGTCATAGAGACAAAAAGTCCAATACAGGGTATAATTCCGTAATACTGTAATACCTATATATGTGGTACAGGTGGGCACTGGAAATATTGGGGGAAACATTTGGTAAACAGTTTCAGGCTATCTAACCACCATGCCTGAAACTAATACATAATACTGACTGTAAACTGTAATTGATAAATAAAATTCAAAATAAAAGAATGGAATAAATTTAAAAATATCTATAGCTTGTCAGCAATCTATCATAGAAAAATAATGTTCCATTAAAAAAGCAGCTAATTTCGCTTGCAACTCAAACTACTGTATAAGAACTTTTCCTTGACCCTTGACAGGTAGTTCAGTTGGTTAGTGCATCATCTTGATATGCTAAGGTTGCAGGTTCTATCCCGGTCAGGGCACACACAAGAATCAACCAATGAATGGATAAATAAGTGGAATAACAAATCAATGTTTCTCTCCATCTATCTCTCTAATATCAATCAATCAACCAATCAAGGATTTTAACTTTCCTCGGACTTCTGGCCAAGATGGAGGCAAAGGTAGATACTCTTTGTTTCCCTGTATAAGCAAAACAAGAATGACAAATTTAAAAACAAAAAGCAACCAGAACTGCAAGAAAATCAAACTGTATGTAAGTCCAACAACCAAGGAGTTACAGAAGAAACATTCATCCAGACTGGCAGAAGGGGTGGAGACAAGCAACCAGGCCAGAGAGAACATGTGGCATGGTGATGGAACAGGCAGGTGAGGTGGCGACTGGCGTACCAGGGGCAGGCAGTTGCACATACGCGTTTGGATAAACCAGGAGGAACAACTGGGGAGTGAAACAGACTGTGCAACCCAGGGTTCCAGTGTAGGAAACTACAGCCTTAGAACCTCTGGCTGTAAAAACCTATGGGGTTTGGGTGGCAAAAGAAACTCCCAGCCTCACAGGACAGTTCGTTGGAGAGACCCACAGGGTCCTAGAACCATACACAAACCCACCTACCCAGAAATCAGCACCAAAAGGGCCCAATTTGCTTTTGGGTAGCAGGGGAAGTGACTGAAAGCCAGCCAACAGCTGAGCAAGCAGCACTGTTCCCTCTCTGACCCCTCCCGCACAGAGAGCACCACAATGCAGCAATATGGGTTGCCCCATCCTGGTGACTACCTAAGGCTCTGCCCCTTATACCTAATAGGTATACCAAGAGAAAGAAATATGGCCCAAATAAAAGAACAGATAAAAACTCCAGGAAACAAAATAAGTGACAATGAGACAGCCAACCTATCAGATGCAGAGTTCAAAACACTGGTAATGAGGGTGCTCACAGAACTGGTTGAACACACATGTAATATAGAGAAAGAAGTGAAGGCTATGAAAAGTGAAATAAAGAAAAATATATAGGGAACCAACAGTGAAGAGAAGGGAACCAAGACTCACATCAACAATCTGGAACAGAAGGAAGAAATAAACATTCAACTAGAACAGAATGAAGAAACAAGAATGCAAACAAATGAGGTGAGACTTAGGAACCTCCAGGACAACTTTAACTGTTCCAATGTCCGCATCATAGGGGTACCAGAAGGAGAAAAAGAAGAGCAAGAAATTGAAAACTTACTTTAAAAAATAATGAAGAAAAACTTCCCCAATCTGACAAAGGAAACAGACTTTTAGGAAGTCCAGCAACCCCCAAAGAAGTTGGATCCAAGAAGGAACACACCAAGACATATCATAATTTACTCAAGATTAAACATAAGGAGGGAATCTTAAATGCAGCAAGAGGAAAGGAAAGAGTCTCCTACAAAGGAGTGCCTGTATGGTTATCAACTGATTTCTCAAAAGAAATCTTACAGGCAAGAAGGGGCTGGAAAGAAGTATTCTAAGTCATGAAAGGCAAGGACCTACATCTAAGAGTACTCTATCCAGCAAAGCTATCATTTAGAATGGAAGGGCAGATGAAGTGCTTCCCAGATAAGGGGAAGTTCAAGGAGTTCATCATCACCAAGCCATTATTATATGAAATGTTAAAGGGCCTTATCTGAGAAACAGAAGATCAAAAACTATGAACAGTAAAATGACAACAAACTCACAACTATCAACAACTGAACAGAAGAAAAAAGAAAAACAATGAAAACAAAAACTAAGCAAACAACTAGAACAGGAACAGAATCAGAAGAATGGACATCACCTGCAGAGTTTTCAGTGGGGAAGGGGAGGGAAAAAATAGGGGGGTAAGGTACAGGGAATAAGAAGCATAATTGGGAGGCATAAAATAGATGGGGAGAGGTTAAAAATGGTATAGGAAACAGAACAACCCATGGACATGAAAGAGAGGGGTGGGGAATGCAGGAGGATTGGGGATGTAGGCCAGAGGGGGGATAAAGGAGGAAAAAATTGGGAAAACTGTAATACCATAATCAATAAAATACTTTAAAAAATCACACTTTAAATTAATACTGTCCTAAAAAGAAATAGTTGTCTAGAAACCTCTCTTAGGTTATAGTAAGTCTAATAATGATAGTTCAGACTGACTTCTTAACTATATAAAGTCATTCTCATCCTCCTAACGTATATCAAACAAAAGGTAAGATGAGGATAGTGGGATTTCAATGGGAACTCTTTTGTCTTTGTTCAACAGTAAAACAACACAGCATCTATTTCCTGTAGTCTTCTCCATTCAAAGATCCTGCCTTCTTTTTTGCAATAAAAAAAACCCATAAATCTTACAAGGGTATTACTCCACAGCTCTAAAAATATTTGTAACATTTATATTTTGAAAAATTATTTGCTTTATTACTTCTAGTGTATTAACACAATAACTGCCTGAATTGAACAATACAGAATGCACATGTTATACTTCAATATTCAGATCTTACAGTTTTCTTCCTTCTATATCTATGTCTGAATCTAAATGGTATATTCTTTTATTTCTTGCTACAAGTAAAACCCAAAGCTAAAGTTAAAGATCAACCTTAAAAAAAAAACCCTCTCAATTAAGGTGCTTTTTCAAATCAAAAGATATCATTTCTATAAAACTAACAAATAAAATAGAAACAGGCTCATAGTATACAAAGAACAGACTGAGAGCTGTCAGAGGAAAGGGTGGGGGTTGTGTGAAAAAAGTAAAGAAATTAAGAAAAGAAGAAAACACCTCATACACATAGACAACAGTATTGTGATTACTAGAGGGCAAGTGGGGTGGGGAGAGGTAGCAATGGGTAAAGAAGGATAAATAGAGGTGAAAGGATGCTTGACTTGGGGTGATGAACACACTATACAGATGATGTATTATAGAACTACACCCCAGCAACCGGTATTATTTTATTAAACAATGTCACCAATAAATTCAATTTAAAAAAGGATATGGTTTATATAATTTTCTTCATCCCTCTCTTACAACTTACTTGTTCTCCTTTAGTCTAGTTTACCAGTAAAACTTTTCATAGGCCTTATTTCCCTGCGTTACTGTTCTCAATATGTACAATGCATTTGTCTGTCCATCTAGATCACTTTGTCTTCTACTTTTACATATACCTATTAATACCTAAAATATTCGGCTCACAAAAAGTGTTCATTAAACTAAATTTTAAGTTTTCTTTAAATCTGACTATACATCCTATTTTTACCATCTTCTCTACACACTCAGACTGATATCACATTTTTTTTTTTTTGCATGGATTATGTATCACTTTCTCCTTTGGTCAAAAAAGGAAAACCATGTCTAGAAATTAAGAAAGAGTGAAAGTAAGGCATATCACAACACTAAAAATATGGCAGTCAGGTAAGGTAGGTACCCAGAACATAAAAGTAACTGGAGTCTTTTTCTCTAGTGATAGAATGATTGGTTTCCTTTACAAGGCAGTTTCAAATTTTCCTCCCTTTGGCCTTCTGCAGCAAATACCAACTTTTTAGTCTGGTTCACTCCTTGGAACAACCAATTGTGCACCTTTCCTGAGAAGAGGCCACAGATAAGAATTGACTATACACTTGAAGTAACAATCTGAGCAAGCCTTCATATCTTTTGATAGTTTCATTAAAATCCTAAAGGTAAAAACAAAGTCATATAAAGCCAAGGAAAAAAGGAGAACTTACCACCAAACAAAGGTTCTGGTTCCACCAATATTTCCTGCTTTTGAGGAATTGGGGCACGAACTTCTTCTCTATTCAAAAAAAGTGGAAAAATACCAAAATGAAAAGTGTTTTTGCTACCTGTTCTTTCTGTAACTATTGTTGCGTGCACTCAAATGAATAAGTAATGAACACCAGACTTAACTTTCAGGAACCACAGTGGTGAATAATGTTTCCATATAGAGATCAATTGGAATTAAAGTACATGGTAATTCAAGTGATTTATAAAGAGAACAAAGTATTTCTCCTTCCCAGTCAAGTTCCCTGCCCTATATTCTTTCAAAAAAAGGGGGAAGGCAAGCATTAATTTAAAGAAATATCAGGACTTGGCTAGAATGTCATCCTAATACAACAAGGTTGTGGGTTCCATCCCCACTCAGGATACGTACAAGAATCAACCAATGGCCCCAACTGGTGTGGCTCAGTTGGTTGGGTATCATTGTGAAAACACAGGGGTCACTGGTTCAATTTCCAGTCAGGGCACATGCCTCAGTTGCAGGTTTGGTCCCCAGCTGAGGCATGTACAAAAAGGCAGTCCAATTGATGTTTCTCTCTCCCATCAATGTTTCCCTTCCTTTTCTTCTCCCTCCCTTCCCCTCTAAAATTTAAAAAAATAAAAAAGAACCCACCGATGAATACATATATATATGGAACAATAAATCGATGTTTATCTCTCTCCCTAATAATCAATAAAAATATTTTTAAAAGAAAAATTTAAAACTCAGGCAAAAAATTAATAGAAAAATATTGGCTTAATAAAAGCACCTTTACCACCACGTTAAATAAACACACAGATATATTAAAATAAGCTTAACAAAACATAAATTTTATGCTAGTTATGAAGATGGCTAACATAGGTATTACCCTGAATTATTTATTCAATAGATTCTACAATACAGAAAAGAAAAAATTACTAATTTTTATTATTTATTTATTAAAAATTTTTAAAATTTTATTTTTAGAGAGAGGGGAAGGGAGGGAGAAAGAGTAGGAGAGAAATATCAATTGGTTACTTCCTGCACATCCCCATCCTGGGACCTGGCCTGCAACCCAGGTATGTGTCCTTGACATCCAGGAATCAAACCTGTGACCTTTCTGTTTGCAGGGTGATACCCAACCCACTGAGCCACACACCAGTCAGGGCAATTACTCATCTTTTAAAAGCCTATAAACTTTTAAAAGTTTATGTCTAGAGAGTTTACTAATAATCCATGTCTTCCAGTAAAAAAGGAAAAACAAAACCCCCTCATTTTGATATACTATAAAAATGGTGTTATGTTCCTTTAAATATCACCTTATTTTATGGTTTTAACTCAAATATTAAATTCTGCTAATTAATGTTCATAGCAAATAGCAGGTTCCAAATTTATTATCTTCTTGCTTATCATGTTAATTTAAGTTAGGCCCTTTGTTTTTCTTTCCGGCGTTTCTAATAGTAATAACTGAACTTAAAGCACTGTTTTTTTTTGATACCTAAGGGTCAGAACTCTTAAAATATACTTTGTGAAATAAAGTATAAACATTCATTTGTCATCAAGAACTAACATCCAGTAATCAAATAACTAGACAAAGAAATATACAATAAGACTAATGACTAAAGGATAAAAAATAATTCAAAATTGCCCTGGTTGGTGCAGCTCAATGGATTGAGTACCAGCCTGTGAACCAAAAGGTCACTGGTCCAATTCCCAGTCAGCGCACATGCCTGGGTTGCAGGCCAGGTCCTCAGTATGGGGCATGTAAGAGGCAACCACACATTGATGTTTCTTTCCCTCTCTTTCTCCTTCCCTTCCCCTCTGTGTAAAAATAAAATAAAATCTTTAAAAAGAAATTAAAAATTCTATTAAGTACTCTTTCCTACTAGGTACCAGTCCAGTCACTGCTTAGGCAAAGAATTTCAATAATCTGAACAATGTGTCTGTAAGAGGAAGCTCTATCAATCCTCCTTCATCAAAGAAAAACAGGCCATTATCTTAAGAAAACCAAGATTCTAAAAGATATCTTTTACCTGAATAAATCTTTCCCTCATTGGTATACCTCACTTTTACATTTATATATAATTCTCAATCAGTAATAGTCCCTTTACAGAAAGAATTGATTACTACATATTTGAGGGTATCTTTTCCAAGATTTTTAACTACCTACACCAAGATGGAAGAATAAAATAGAAAAAGTAAACTATAAAGAGTGAAAATTATAGTTTAGAAATTAGGAGCCACTATCAAATGTTAACCAATTAATAATACAAATAATCTAAGTAAAATTATAATGTAATTCAGTTCCTGAGTGCTGTAGCTCAGTTGGTTGACTGTCGTCCCACAAAGAGAAAGGTTGTGGGATTGATTCCTAGTCAGGGCAGACGCCTGGGTTTCAGGTTCTATCCCTGGTTGAGGTGAGTACGAGAGATAACCAATCAATGTTTCTCTCACATTGATGTTTCTCTCCCTCTCTTCCCTTCCCCTCTCTCTAAAAATAAAAAATATTTTTAAAAATTACAATGGAATTCAGTAGGAAAAGCTATTCACATATAAAAACTACTTTTACACAATTAAAAAAACATGTTTTATACAGTGTGGACAGATAGGTTCTCCCAAATCTGCTGTGAATACCTGTTATTCACATTTCTGTAAAGTAAATCATGTTTTCATGATTTACATGCTATGTTGATGGAGAATGGAATACATGGCCAGCAGTGACAAGAAAAAACTTTACAAAATATTAACAATGATCTCTAAAATTCATGCTTCATGTGGAAACACTATTACTCTAGAATCTGGAACTATATCAATAAAAGAGGTGAGAGTGTCCTGAGTGTTATTTGGCCCCTTACATCTATGTCTAATTTAGTAAAAATAAGATCCATGTCCTTTGCCTATCCCTATTTAAGGGGATTCCTCTATTTTGTATTTCATGTTAAAAACAATGAGTGATAAAGGACTACAAGTATTATTTAAGAATCTTTTAAATTTTGGTTTATTTTATTTTTTTAATGATTTTTATTTATTTTTAGAAAGAGGGGAAGGGAGGGAGGAAGAAGGGGAGAGAAACATCAATGCGTGGCTGCCTTCCACCACCCCCCTGCCCCCCACGACTGGGGACCTGGCCGGCAATCCAGGTAGTGCCCCTACTGGGAATCAAACTGGTGACCCCCCAATTTGCAGGCCGGCATTCAATCCACTGAGCCACATCAGCCAGGGCTATATTTTGTTTTGTTTTTTTTTTTAAAAAACAAGAACAATCAGTGCTTTTCCTTTGAGTAACGTTCATTTCTAATATTTTCCAAAGACTGCTGGAACTTTGCCCAAAAGATACTCATTTCAAATTCTCACTGGTATCAGATATAAAGGGCAAAAAAGAACAAATCTGCTTACCACTTATTACTATTCTCTATACAGTACAATTCCATATGCTGAAAGTGCTTCTAATAATTAACTATATGTAACTAAGGTATAAAAGACTACAATTATTTTTCAAAAAATTGTCATGGCACGCTTGCAAGTTTAATCCCTGGTCAGGACACACACAAGACTCAATTAATGAATGCATGAATAAGTAAAACAACTTACTTGATATTTCTCTCTCTTCCTCTTTCTCTCTAAAATCAATTAAAAAAATTTTTTTTTCATGACAATGAAAAATGGGGCAATGTAAGAAAAGCTAGCATTGGGAAATCTGATTATTATTGGGTTTCACTTCTCTGACTGCTTTTAATTGCTGTGTACCTTGGGAAAATGGCTATGCCTCTACTTCCTCATCTGTAAAACGTGGGTAAGGACATCCTACAGGGTTCTTTTCAGGATTAAATAACAGATGTGACAGTGCCTTAGTGAATTTAAAGTATGTAAGTATAAAAATTTCCATTTGACACTTTTTTAGACACTTTCAACTTAAAATTTTCTTCAAAAACAGAAAATTAACCTGATAAAAATGCAACTACTTGATTTAGGCAGGAGGTTGCTCCTAATAAGAATTAATAAATTCAGCCCTGGCTGGTGTGGAGCACCAGTCTGCAAACCGAAGGGTCTCCGATTCCATTCCCAGTCAGGGCATCCCTGGGCTGCTAGCCAAGTCAGGCCCCCAGTATGGGGTGCATGAGAGGCAACTGCATATTGATGTTTCTCCCTCCTCTTCCCCTCTGTCTAAAATAAACAAACAAACAAATAAATATTTTTTCTTTTTTAAAGGAAAATAAATTCACAATAAATAAAAAATAAATTCATACTCTGTGTGTGGTCTAACAGTAGAGACACTTGCTGAACTGGTACTGGGCTCTTCAGCGATTCCACCACCATCCAAAAACATGGTAACTGCCATCTCCAGATTATTGTTGCAGGCTTCAAGCATATGTTTCCCTACACTTTCACTTGCACCTGAAATATAAAAAAAAGAAAAGAAAAATATTTTTAAAAGACACCTTATATTCAGTTCTAATAAGAATACAGAATTCCCAAGCAAATGAGTGCATTTTCCCTTTAAGAATGAGTGACTTTAGACCCTGGCTGAGTAGCGCAGTTGGTATCATCCTGATACGCCAAGGCTGTGGGTTTGATCCCCAGTCAGGGCAGGACAAACACAGAATCAGCCAAGGAATGCAGAAATAAATGAAACAACAAATCAGTGCTTTTCTCTCTCCCTTCCTCTAAGAAAATCAATTTAACAAATGAACGATTTTAAAAAAACTTTAAACTTCTGCACTGCTGCTATACTGTGAACATATATGAGCTAGAAAAGTAACAGCTTTCAAGATTTTACTTATTTGTTTTTAGAGAGAGGGGATAGGAAGGAAAAAGAGAGGGAGGGAAACATCAGTGTGGTTGCCTCTCATGAGGTGCCTCCCCACACAGGTGCATGAGAGGCCCGCAACCCAGACATCTGCCCTGCTGGGAATCGAATCAGTGACTCTTTGGTTCACAGGCCAGCACTCAATCCACTGATCCACACCAGACAGGGGGAAAAGCAGCAGCTTTAAAATAGTAGTCTTCCTTCATAATAAAACAAAAACTAAATAAAGCATTTATCTGACTTTTCTTTAAATGGACTAACTATATATGTTAACAAAGCAAAGAAAAGATAAAGAGAAATGAAAGACTTAATTCTAGAAAGTTGGAAATTGTTAGAAACAATGCATTTCATTTCTATTTTTAAAAAAGTATTTTTCATTAACAGCAGGAGAAAAGTGAGATAGAACATTTTTGTCAAAGATATAACTAAGTCAAAAACCTCATAAGAAATGTCAAGCTTAATCATTTAAAACTGTACCTATCAGCCCTGGCTGTTGTGGCTCACTGGATTGAGCATCAGCCTGCAAACCCAAGGGTCACTGGTTCAATTCCCAGTCAGGGCACATGTAGGTCAAGTCCCGGGTGGGGGGCATGCAAGAGGCAACCACACACTGATGTTTCGCTCCCTCTCTTCCCCTTTAAAAATAAATAAATAAAATCTATTTTTAAAAAACTGCCCTATTACACATTTATCCATGTGTAAAACCAGCATGGTTTGTTAGATGCAATATAAATCAGTAAGGCCTTTTAGAAAAATAATTTTACAGAATGTATCAAGAAACAAAAATATTCATTCCTTTTTTGACCCAGTAATTTAGGCTTCTAGTCAAAGGAAGATTTATTCTTTTATTACTTCTCTACATAAAATAATACACACATATATCGCTTCTCAGTGTTTTGGCTAAGATCAAGTGTATCTGTTCTTATCAGTTTAATATCTGATACATCCTCTATCCGAGGACATTATATTAAATGGATTTTTGGAGCTGGGAGATGGAATAGGGCCTTGCTCCATCCACTGCGCACATTGACATGGTATTGCAGTACTTCTGGGAACAGTGCACTGAAAATAAATAAGTAAATAAATAAATAAATAAATAACACAAAACATGTCCATATATATCCAGTATAACTTCATAACTTAATTTGAAAAACTGAAAACATAAATGTTCAACAGTAGAAGCTGAATTACAGAATCTACTTGATGAAACACTTTGTGGTCATTAATAAGTAGCACAGGCTTTCAACTTGGGATGACTCCTTCATACCTGAATGATGTATGTCCCTTACAGTCTACTTCATTAGGTCTGTTGGTTGTGTGTGTGTTTTGCAAGGTGGGAGATAGAAGGAAGAGAAGGTATTCAGTTTTACAGAATACATGTTCTATTTTTTTGAGGCTGACAGCTATTTTCTCTCAGTATATTAAAGATAGCATTCCAATGTTTTCTGGCATCTGTTGCTGCTAGGATTTCAGAATCTTAAGAAAAACACTTGTATAGCAATCTGCAGTTTCTCTCCAGTTGCTTTTAAGATCTGTCTTTGGTTTTCTGCAGTTTCACTTTAATTTGTCAAGGCTTTGGGATTCACTGGACTTCCACTATATGTAAGAACTATAATCTTCTTTAAAATTTTTATTTACTTAATTTTAAGGAGAGGGGAAGGGAGGGAGACAAAGAGGGCAAGAAACATCAATCAGTTGCCTTTCCTACACACCCCAACTGGGGACCCAACCTGCAACCCAGGCATGTGCCCTGATTGGGAATCAAACTGGGAATCAAGCCTTTGCAGGATGAAGTCCAACTGAGCCACATTGGTCAGGGACTTTTTTGTTTTTTTTTTTTTTAAATACTCACCAGAGGACATGTTTTTTGTTAATTTTAGAGATAGGAATGGGAAAGAGGGAGGAGGAAAATCGATGTGAGAGAGAAACAGTGGCTTCCCATACGAGTACCAACTGGCCACTGAACACACAAACCTTTTGGTGTACAGGGACAACACTCTAGCCAACTGAGCCGCCCAGCCAGGATAAGAACATTTACCTTATATCAATTCTGAAAAATTCTCGGCCCATCCTACTTAACAATGACCTTACTCCTCCAGTAACACTTATTTCCTTCCAAAACTCCAATTAGACATATATTACAACTCTTCACTCTAGGCTGGGCTAATCTGATTTTTATCTGTTCACTGATTTTTAATTTCAGTTAATTTGCATACTTAGTTCTATTTTTTATTTTTTTCTAATCTGCTTGACCATGATTCAGAGACCCTTACTTCATACTCATATTTCAATATTAATTACATTTACTGGAGTTACTAAGACAAAACATAAACTTTCTGCAATCTCTAGGGGGCCACTGTCTTGTTTCTGCTGGCTCTTGCTTACTGTGGCATGGTTTTTCGTGCATTTTGTCATTTTTCTGACTGAGATCTTAATCTGTAGATTTTTGAATCCTGGGTTGAAGGATTCCTCAGAGGATATGATTTGATAGATTTTGTAAGGCATCTGTGGGTACTAGCAAACAGGGACCATTTAAAATACATTCTTGACTTGAAGACCACATGGGAAATGTGACCCTGTATGAACCATTATAAACTCTCAGTGAAGATCTCTCCTGCCACTCTCCAAGTACCAAGGTTGAAACAATAAAGTCAACTTCATGAAGGGGCAGAAATCTTCTTTCAGACTCCTCTCCTTAGGAGGGCCACAGGCTTTGTTTCCTGTTTCTTCTGCCCTATCACACTGTCAAAAGAGGTCAAGTCAATCCAGTTTGGGTAGATTCCACCAAGATGAAGGCTTGCTTTAAATCTAGCCAATACCTGCATTACCAATTTCATTTCATTTTTAGTCTCTATGTAGTCCTTACTTTCTTGCCAGCCCAACAATACATTATGAAAAAAAATGCAATAACTATTTTATTCAGGATTTTTTCTCAGTAGGAGGGTTATCTATGATCTCTCTCTAGCAAAGCCATACTGCCAGAATGGGAAGTGCTAACTCTACTCTTAACATCTCTATGTGTTTTCTCTACTACTATCTCCAAGGCTTTACAGCAAGCCCTTAATATGTCTTACTTAGATTACTACAATAGGTTCCTAACTGATCATTCTATCTTTCCACCTGGCTGCTGTGGTTATGTTCCAAAATACATGTCTGACTGTACAACACCCAAGTGTAAATTCTATAATGGCTTTCTGACACCTACGAAGTCCTTATGATATGGAAAGTCTTTGTGATCGGGTCTCAGCTTATCTCTCTAGCTTTGCCTCTCCTTTTCTCCATCCCATACAATTTAGTAAAGTCACAATGAATTACACGTTTGGAATTTCCTTATCTTCCTCATCCCTCTCTTCTACTTCAGCTCCTTGATGCATGCTCAACAATCACCCTAAGTGTTAACTGTGTCAACTTGTTTGCTAAGCATTCTCTACACTACTTCCCAATTCCTATCCCTCTAACACTCCAACCCTCTGATACTACTAAGCAGTAAATGTTGGTTTAATTTCTGGCTCTTCCAAAAGTGAAGTTTCATATTTAATTAATTAACTTTTTTAAAACAATGCCAAAAAAATTTTTAATTTTAGTTCACAAAAATTTTATATAGTACATACTAGATGTATGTACCATGTTAATTCATTGGAGCCTGGAAAAAACCCCTATGAGAAGGAGGTATTACTTTTTTAAAAATATATTTCATTGACTATGCTATTACAGTTTCCCATTTTCCCCCCTTCACTCCCCTCCACCCTGCACACCCCCTCCCACCCACATTCACCCTTTTTAGTTCATGTTCAAGTTCTTTGGTATTTACATTTCCCATACTATTCTTACCCTCCCCCTGTCTATTTTCTACCTGTGTATGCTATTTATTCTCTGTACCTTTCCCCCTTCCAACTCCCCTGTTGATAACCCTCAATGTGATCTCCATTTTTGAACCTCTGCTCCTGTTCTAGTTGTTTGCTTAGTTTGGTATTGTTTTTGTTTTAGGTGTGGTTGTTAATAACTGTGAGTTTGCTGTCATTTTACTGAAAATGTTTCTTATCTTCTTTTTCTTAGATAAGTCCCTTTAACATTTCATGTAGTAAGGGCTTGGTGATGATGAACTCCTTGAACTTGACCTTATCTGAGAAGCACTTTATCTGTCCTTCCATTCTAAATGAAAGCTTTACTGGATAGAGCAATCTTGGATATAGGTCCTTCCCTTTCATGACTTTCAATACTTCTTTCCATCCCCTTCTTGCCTGTAAGGTCTCTTTTGAGAAATCAGCTGACAATCTTATGAGAACTCCTTTGTAGGTGACTGTCTCCTTATCTCTTGCTGCTTCTAGGATTCTCTCCTTCATTTTAACCTTGGCTAATATAATTATGATGTACCTGGGTGTGTTCCTCCTTGGGTCCAACTTCTTTGGGACTCTCTGAGCTTCCTGGAAGTCTATTTCCTTTGCCAAATTGGAAAAGTTCTCCTTTATTATTTGTTCAAATAAGTTTTCCACTTGTTGCTCTTCCTCTTCCCCTTCTGGTACCCCTATAATTCAGATGTTGGAATGTTTAAAGATGTCCTGAAGGTTCCTAAGCCTCTCCTCATTTT